GGTTCTGAAAACCTGCTGGAGGGTAAGTTCTGTCTTGATGACACACAACAACAAATCTTAAAAGTTCTGAATAATTAAAAAACTCAGTGGCACCAAGTTGATTTAAACTAATAGTGACCTTCCATTGGGTTTCCACTTTAAGTTAGACAATCACATGACCTACTATGACAGGAATGAAAAATGAGGAAAAATTGAACTGAATTAATAAAAAAGACCAATTCTAGATATATCCTGAAGTACAATGTTGTGAGTGACAGGGTACTATCCATACACATACAAGAAAGAACTATCATTCAAATATACACACCAACTACTAAACCCAAAGAGGGAGAGAATTGACACCTTTGAGTTGTGCTTGAGAAGAGTATTATATATTATGGACTGCTAAGGAAACAAGTCTATCCTTGAGAAGGCAAAACCAGGTTGCTCCTTGGAGGCAAAGATTTTGAAGATCTGTCTCACATATTTTGGGCATGTTGTCAGGAAGGCCCAGCACCTGGAAAAAGACATCATGCTTAGAAAGGTCGAGGGACAGTGCAGGAGAAGAGCCTGGATGAAATGGATTGACACAGGTACTGAGTCAATGAGGTGTGCCAGAGATAGGGAGGTTAGCTCAGGTTAGAGCAGAGGTTCAGAGCCATTGTTCATAGGGTCCCTATGAGTCACAGTCAATTTGAAGGCATATACCAACAGCAACACTGAATTTTCGAATCTGAAACATAGGGAGCTCTGGTGGACTAGTGGTAAGAAAGTGTGCTGAAATCCCAAAGGCATGTGGTTCAAACTCACCAGCTGCTCTAAAGGAGAAGGCTGATTAGTCTCTTCCCATGTGATTTACTGCTTCTGAAAACCTGCTAGAGGGTCAGCTATGAGCTGATTCCAACTTAACAACAAACACCACCACTGCCAAATACATAGGAGGAGACTATCTACCATTCTCCTGCTGCAGAGAACCTGGACTGTTCTCCTTTTGGTGGTCAGATACATTATGCACTACAACAACAGAGTGACTGAAAAGTTATAAATAAGGAACAATGATCTTGAAAATTATACACAACTTGGGGCAATCCCTAAGGTGAGAGGTTCAAATCCACTAGATGCTCCCCTGGAGAAGGGGAGGCAATCTCCTCCTGTGCCAGTAAAATTCAATGCGACTGTCCACAATAACAACAAAGCAAAATAAAACAAAAAAGAAAATTATACATAACTTGGGAGAGACTGGAGGGAATTATGCTGAGCGAACTAACTCATTTTCATAAGGATAAATACTGCATGCTCCTTGGAGGCAAGGATTCTGGGGCTTCGTCTGACATACTTTGGACATGTTGTAAGGAGAGAGACAGGTCTTTAGAGAGGGACATCATGCTGGGTAGAGTAGAGGGACAGCGCAGGAGGGGAAGACCCTCTATGAGGTGGATTGATTCAGTGACTGGGGTAATCGGGATGGGTGTGTCAGGGGCAATGAGATTGGCACAGAATAGAGAACGGTTTAGGGCTGTTGTACATAGGGTCGCTATGAGTCGCAAACGACTCGACGGCACATAACAACAACAACAGAACCTTTCCTGTAAAAACAGAAGGATGACTAGTGAAATGTGTATTGAAATCCAAGCAGAGAAGGGGTGGAAGCAGAGGATTGAGGGTGGGAGGGGGGGAAGAAAAAGTTCACACAATTGTGGGTTAAGGGCAATGGGACAGATTTGGTGGGGTTCTGGCAAGACAAAGTAATGATGGGCATGGTTTAATGGTGAATGATTTTATAACACATAATGAATAAGAATGACTATGAAAGAAGGATAGAGTGAAACACATTGTATATGGCCTTTGCATGCAAACCAAGGTAAATTTAAAAGAATAAAAGAAATTCCCAGTGGTGGGGGGAAAGAGTTATAAATAGTATTATCTTTGTTTTAATGTAATTTTAAATACTAGGATATTTAAAAGATGGTAGACTTAATCTTGTATGCATGAGTGTGTCGTTAGATATCGTCAAGTTGAGGACAACTCACAGAAACTGTAAGATCAGATCTGAGCCCTGTCCTGTGCCGTCCTCACAATCTCTGACACACTAAGGCTGCTTGCCACAGTCACCATGTCAACCCACCTGATTGAGGGTCTTCCTGTCTGTTGCTGCTTCTCCACCTTTCCAATCATGATATCCAAGGAATAGCCTCTCCTAGCAATATCCCCAAAGTGTATTAGAGAAGCTTCATCATCTTTTCCTCCAAGGAATATTCTGACTGCACCTTCTCAAAGATGTATCTGTTCTTTTGGATTCTTCAGTACTCTTCTTTAACACCACATTTCCAAGACATCAACTTTTCTGTCATGCTTACTCAATGTCCAGCTCTCAGATACATACCCAGTGACTAAAAAGACCATAGCCTGGATTAGGTGCACCTTTGTCCTCAAACTTCTCAACAATTGGGAGAGGTCCCTGACTGCAGACTCTCCCAGTGCAATCTATCTCCTGATCTCCTGACTGCTGGTATTGAGGGTTTAGATCCACATAAGATGAAGTGGACAGTCTCAATTCTTTCTCTGTCTAAAATGATGCTGCTTGTTGGTCTAGTGGCAAGGATTTTTGTTTTCTTTAAATTTTTATTATTTCTTTCCCTCTTTTTTCCATTTATTAATTTTACTGAAAGTTTACAGAGGCTTTGGATTTACATTAATTCATTGTTTCACTTGATTTTTGTTTTCTTAATATTGAGATGCAATCCATACTGAAGGCTGTAGCATTTAACCTTCTGCAGCAAGTGCTTCAAGTCATCACTTTCAGCAAGTGAGGCTATGCCATCTGCATAATGCAAGTTATTGATGAGTCTTCCTAACTAACGTTAGGATTCATAAACTTTTCTTCATAAAAAAAGTGTTCTCGGCCACACCCCAGGGAAACTCTCTTGACATGGATCAGGGCTGGGTGGGGTTTAAGGACATTGCCTTCTACCCTTAATCCTTTGATTGCTCCTCAGCTTGTTAGATAAAAATCCTGCTCAAGATTATCCAAAAATGACCAGAAAAACACATTGAGAGAGAATTATCAGAAATATAAGCTGGGTTTAGAAGAGGCTGTGGCACTAGACACACTATTGCCAGTGTCAAATGGATCTTGGCAGAAAGCAAAGAGTACCAGAGGAATGTCTATCTGTGTTTCACTGACTATGCAAAGGCATTTGACTGTGTGGATCACAACAAATTGTGGTTAACCTTGAGAAGAATGCAAATTCCAGAACACTTGATTTTGCTCTTGTGAAACCTATATTTGGACCAGGAAGCAGTCCTCAGAATAGAGCAAGGAAACAACACTTCATGGTTCAAAATCAGGAAAGGAGTGCATCAGGGATGCATCTGTCTCCATACCTTTTCTGTCTATTTGTAGAGCAGATCATTCTGGAGACTGGACTATATGAGGAGGAAGATGGCATCAAGATTGGAGGAAGACTTGTTAACACCTGAGTTATGCAGATGACAATACCTTGCTTGCTGAAACTGAGGAGGACCTGAAGTGTTGGCTGCAAAACGTCAAGGACTGTAGTCTTCCAATATGGACTGCAGTTCAATAGACTCCTTGGCACATAACAACAACAGGTTATTTCTGTCATAACAGTACTAGATATAACAAAGACACTGATCAACTCGATCCCATTCCTATGAAAGGTGCTCCCAGCAGATTTTGGAAATTACTGAATAATACCATTAATATTACAGGCAAGAAAACATTTTCTCAAAATAATTTAAAATGGTTGCCACAGCCTATCAACAGAACCATACGTGGATGACAGAACCTTCCTTGCTGAAAGCAAAGACTTGAACATCAAAGACTGTATATAGCCTTCAATCCTGATGTTACATTTTTCTTGATATAACCCAGCTTCTTGTACTATTTGCTCAGATTGAATACAGATGATCAAAGGATGCTGTTCTGACACACATCTTTCCTGCTTTTAAACCATGGAGACTCCTTCCTGCTCTATTACACTGGATCAATCTCAAAGACAGCACTTTGAGGACTGAGGTTCGCCTGACCCAAGTCATGGTATTTCCAATCGCCTCATAAACTCCCAAGTGGACAATGAATCAGAAAGAATCATGGCATTGGTGGAGAACACACCATGGGCTGCCAGGGAAATGAGTCGTGTCAGTGTTGGAACTAATACAGAATGCTCCTTTGAAGCGAGAATGGTGTGGCTTCCTCTCATACTTGGGACGTGTTATCAGGAGGGAAAAGTGCCCGGAAAAACCTCCCTGGGAAAAGCCTCTCAATGAAATACACAGATAGAGGGACCGCAGTAAGGGGCTCAAACACTGCAACACTGTGAGAAAGGTGTGTGACCAAGGGATCCTTTATCTTGTTGCTACGTGTCAGACCTCATTGGAGGACACCCAACATCACAAAGCATGAGATCCTTTCCCGGGTCGACTCAAGGGCTCCTGCCCTTCCTCCTGAGGCCAGAGAGCAGCAGGTGCTGCTTGGCTGCAGCCAGCCCGGCCTTTGCCCCGCTGACCTCAGAGCCGTTTCCCCGGGGACCTTTGCGCTGTGCTCGGCGTGTGCTTCCCAAGTGCAGCCCGACCCACCCTCCCTTCTGCAGGCGGTCCAGCGCGGGGACGTGCGGGGTGGCAGGCCGAGTCCCTCTCCTGGGCACTCGCTCCTGGTTATTTTTAGCTGGTGGCAGAGCGCCCCTCTCCGTAAGCGGAGGCCGGAGAAGGTGGGGAGGCGAGGGAGCGCCCGGCGCCTCTGCGCTCGCTCCCGCGGGGACTCACGGCGCGCCCGGGCACAGGCGGCGCTGGAACAGCTGCGGCGGCGGCGTCCTCGGCTGCGTCCTCGGCAGCGCAGCTCCCGGCGGGGACCTGCGAGCCGGGGGAGGGGCGGCGGGGGAGGGGAGAGCGCGGCGGGAAGGGGCGGGGAGCGCGCTCCTGCGGCGGCGGCGGCGGCGGCGGCAGCAGTGGCAGTCCTCAGCCTGGTGGCCCAGCGCTCGCGCCGACGCGGGGCTTCGCAAATGGCTTGTCCCTCCCTCGGTCTGGAAGCCCTTCAGCCCCTGCAGCCCGAGCCGCCCCCGGAGCCGGCCTTCTCCGAGGCGCAGAAGTGGATCGAGGTAGGTGACCGTGGCCGGCAGGCGGCCTTGCAGGGTCGCCGGGACCCACCAACCCGCTCACGCAGGGACTGCAGGTCCAGCCGCGGCACCCCCCTCCCCCACAAGTTCCTTTGGCCAGTTGCTCGGGGTCACTAGCCAGGGCCTGTGGTGGCCTAGCGCTTTTTGCATTGGTGTCCTGGGCAGGGGTGGGCGCGAATGGGGGGCATTGCAGTGGCGCTGTGCGCCGGAGGACAGGAGGGGAGGCGGTCCCCTGCGCTCCATCTCCCCGACCCGCGCGCTCGGTGCAAATCTCAGCTCCCGCAGCTTCCCGGAGCTGCCAAAGGAAGCGCAGTGCTCGGAGCCGGGCTGCAAAGGCGCAGGAAACGTGAGCCTTGGGGGTACTCGCCGACGCTGCGTTTTGGGGCATCCTTCTGGCCTCACATTCTGCTTGGCCTCGACACCTCCGTGGTAGAGTTGGCAGAATCCCCAAAGAGGCGCCAGGTGTGGGGCTGGCACCGTGTGCAGGGCCGGGGGGAGCGCACAGACCCACCTGCAAGCGCGCCAACCACGCGGATGCTGCCCAGCTGTTGGCAGCTTTCCGCTGCCCCAGAGGCGGCGGGGTGGGTTCCAGGGGACCTAGCCCCGTTGACATATCACTTCTTAAAAGACTCGGTGGTGGCAGGCCAGGGAAATCAGTGGCGCTCTCGGCTCTGTCCAGGAAGCTCTGGCTGCGTGATCCTGATTGACGATGCCTATCTGGAGACGCAGCTTGCAAGCTCCGCGCTCCCTAAATCCTGTGTCTGCGGGGGGTTAGGACTCTTGGAGGGCATGAGGGTGAAAAAGGCGACCCTCTGTTACAGCGCGCGCGGAGCCTCGGCCTCTCTGGGAGGCCTTCTGATTTTGGGTCTTGGTGGATGAATTTGACCCTTTCTCCTGGTGAGGGTAGGCCCTCCTTGCAGGTGAGTTCCTAGGAGGATACGCGCCGCTCAAGTCATGATGGAGCAGAGAGGAAGCCTCTTAGTGCTGAGACTGTAACACCCCTCTGTGACAGCGCAAGTCTCTAGAGGCGGCTGAGCTAATACAGCGAGGATGCTGTGCAGATTCAAATCTCCTGAGTTGCTCGCATTAATCACCTTCAGCTGCGGCCAGAGGCCTGCACCCTACACGCTTGACTGGCTTCACGCAAGCGAGAGAGTTTAGGAGCGAGTTGAAGACTCATTAAGTAGTAACTCAGTAGCGTTATTGCTAAGAGCTCTGAGCCTGCCTCTCACGGCCAGATCAGAGGAAGATTTTACTCTTTTATTTTTGACGTGTGGCTGGCAAGGTTTGGGGGGTGTGACAGGTGCTCTCGTTGGTGCTGCATATTTGGACGCCCTGGGCACACATGAGACATTTGTGGTCACTGGCCTAGTAAAAGGGTTGAGTAACTGTATTTTTCAGATTTTGGGAAGTGAAAATTCTCCTTGGAGACTTTGGAGGTGGGAGGGGAGTCTTAATATTCTTGATGGCAATTTATTTCTTCTCAGTGCACTTAATTATGAGTGACGCTGGCACAGTTTGCTTGGGGGTGTGTGTGAGGTATTCTAAAGTGTTATATACCAGAAAGCGCACATATCTCAAGTACACACCTCCATGAATTTTGACACGTATATCTTACCACAGCCCCCACCCTGATCAATTTATAGAACATTTCCGTCACCCTGGAGAATTGTCTTCTACTTGTAAGTGGTGGCCTAGTGGTAGGGAGTTGCGCTGCCAAGCCAAAGGCGGCGGTTCGAATCCAGGAGCTGCTCTGCGGGACAAAGATGGGCCTTCTCCTCCCGTGCGATGAACTGCTTCTGGAAACTCACTGGAGGGTCAGCTATGGGTCAGTTCCCAGTAGAGGGTTATTGAGTTATTAACAGGTTAAATATTATGCAGTACAAATGGCAGCTTTTGTCCCGGTGCCACAGCTAAAAGAACCCCTCAAAAAATCCAAAAAGCAAGTTCCTTAAGAAACTTGCACCGTGTGTGAGGCCTCATAGTGAGCTGGGCATTAGTCGGGATCCTTTACCATTTCTGCCTGTTAAAAAAATCGTGAAGAACCGTAATGGGGCGTGTGCCTCCCCGGAGTAGGCAGCCGCGGCGCGGGCCGAGTGCATTATTAAAGCGGCCTCTCCCCTTTCAATTACGGGGTTGGATTTCTTGGAAAGGGGAGCTTTCCCTCCCAGGCTATATAAAAAGATACTTACTCCCGGGTAAAATAAAGACCGTGTCGTCCCCCCCCC